TGTTTTAAACATGTCTGTCAGTGTGAGGGTATCAGAGTCCATGAGAGCCATGTGGGTGCTGGGAATCGAACCAGGGTCCTATGGAAGAACAGTCAGTGCTCTTAACTGGTGAGCCATTTTCCCAGCCCTGCATTTTTTTTTTTTTTTTTTTTTAATTGTAGACAGGGTCTCACTATGTACCCGTGACTGGGTTGAGATTCCCTATACAAACCAGGCTGGGCTTAAACTCACAGAACTTCTGCATCTACCTCTAAAGTACTGGGATTAAAGGCATGTGCTGCCTCGAGACTGGCTCAACTGATCCTCTTGAGAAGCACAGCCTCCAAGGATGGGTCTTTGGCAGTCACACTTGTATCACAAGAACCCTGACTACACCGTTATATTGGCAGAGGTGGTATAAGACCAAGGTCTGACAACTTAATATAAACTAGACTGACTAGTTTCTTTCCCTTGGAAATTAGAACACACACAGACACATAGACACGTGCCTTTTTTTTTTTTTCTTTTGTAGCCTTGGCTGTTTTAGAACTAGCTCTGTAGACCAGGCTGGCCTCGAACTCGGAGAGCTGCCTGCCTCTGCTTTCTGAAAGCTGGCATGTACCTAGAGTCTACCAATATTAGTGAGTCTTAGTTTGCTCTTGACATGAGGGTCAGTAAGCTTGGCATATGTTCTCAGAGAAGCAGGTCCAAAGAGAACGAAGCAGTTTTGCAGGAAGAAGAAGGAGAAGGAGAAGGAGAAGGAGAGGGAGAAGGAAAAGGCAGAGGGGGAGAAGGAAACACACACACACACACACACACACACAAAGCAAAGATGAAAGTTCATGTGACCAGAGAGAAGGGATTTGAGGGACGAGCCACATGGCTTTATGCCTTCCTGTTGATATTTAATGCCCTTGTGTGAGACTGGCCCATTGTGATATTGCTATTTGTATTTTCAGATTTTCTGATAGTGTTTCACTGTGTAGCCCAGGCTGGCTTTGAATTTGTGAGCCTCTTGCTCCAGCCTCTTCAGTGCTGGAATTAGGTGTGCTGCTATGCAAGTCCAGTTGTCCTGTCCAGCAGGACATTAAATAGGGGTCTGGGGAGTCCACCTGAAAGAGAAGATGGGGGAAAACAGGCGGACACAAAAAATGGCGATCTGTATATAGTCTGATCAAATTGCCATTTTTACTTTTCCACACAGGGGTTATATACACAAAAAAGGCAGGATGTGGGGAAGGGGATGACTCAGAAGCGTAGGTGTTCAGGGGGAGTACAGATATCTTCCAGAACAGAGTATCAGCTGGATGAAGGTTCAGGGGACATGTCACTATGACTCTATGATTCACTTGTCCTTATCTAAGTTGGTACTATCCATCAAGGTTACCTATCTACAAGGTCTATAACTATTTAGCCTGGCAATTTTCCACCAAAGCTGCTTGTTTACAATAGCTTCTAAACATTTTCAGTGTTTTTCCACAGAGACTCAAGACTTTGTGTTAGCAGGCATGTATGTCAGGCCTTCAGTGTATAAGCAGGGCTGCCCCTGACATCCAGTTGCTTTGCAAGATCTTGGGTGTTTATTGTATTTTGTTTTTTTTCCCTTGCCACTTTTTTTCTTTTTCTTTTTTTTGGTTTTTCGAGACAGGGTTTCTCTGTGTAGCCCTGGCTGTCCTGGAACTCACTCTGTAGACCAGGCTGGCCTCGAACTCAGAAATCCGCCTGCCTCTGCCTCCCAAGTGCTGGGATTAAAGGCGTGCGCCACCACCGCCCGGCCGCTACATTTATTTTGTGTCGGTGTGTATATGAATGGGTGCACCTGTGCCATGGCTACATGTGGAGAGCAGAGAACAATTTCCAGGAGTTGTGTTTCTCCTGTCACCATGTGGATTCCGGCCTTCAACTCAGGCTATCAGTTTTGTTGGCATGCACCTTTACCAGCTGAACACACACAGACACACACACACACACACAGACTCACACTGTACACACACACACCACACACACACCACAAAGACACACATCACACAGACACACACGTACACAGATACACACATACACAGATACATATACCACACAGACACACACCATATACACAAAGACACACACAACACACACAGACACACACCACGCATACACAGATACATATACCTCAGACACACACTACACAGACACATACAAAGACACACACCACACAGACACACAAAGACACACCACACAGATACATACTCCACAGACACACCACACAGACACACCACACAGTCACACACAGAGAGAGAAGATGGGGTTAGGGAAGAGAGGTTGACTTTACACGAAGAAATGTGTGTGATTTTGATACTTGCAACGACAAGGCTCTTGTCAAGGACTGGATTTTTGTCAGATTAGTTTTTCCATTTAGCATATATGGGTTAACTTTGCTAACTCCAGTCTTAGTCCTTTTGAAGACAGTTGTGTAAGAAGAGACAAGCATAGAGAACTGCTGGATTGCCCCATAATGGGCACAGGAAGAAGGACCCAACTCTCTTGTGGCAGAGGTGGAGGGCATCGAAACATGCCACTGAAACAGTAGGAATAGGAACATGCTGGCCCAGAGGGAGGAAGGGCAGTGAGGCAAAGGGGATGGGGGGGATCAGGGGAAATGATATGCAAACAGGCAAGGTGCGTTTAGGAAAGAGTGACAAGGGGTTGAGTTGTAGGGGCCATGATGGAGAGTGGTGAGCAGAGCCTTGGAGGAAGACGGAAGGCTAATGATCTAACTTCCTGGATACAGGGAGTTTGGGCCTGCTGGTAAGCCTCATTGTACCAATCATTCCTGTCTCCAGAGGAATCTGGGTACTCAAGAAATGCTTGCTGAATCAGTGGTAGACAGACAGGTGAGCGGTTTGTTGGGTGACAAACAAGTATGTTTATATCCAACTTTCCTTTGGGTATTCTCTTCTACACAGAAAAGACAGTCATGAAGACGCTAAACCAGAAATGTGAGTGGGGGGACTCCATCTCACTGTTAGATTCAAAGCTGTCTCTCATTATGTGGCAATTCCATGTCAGTTCAATTGAAGATTTAAAAGTACCATGAGAATTAGGAATGCTGTATATGTTTATTCATTCCCCCCCCATCATTGTATGATTGTATGTTTATGGAGTCTTGGCTATTCTGGAACTCATGACATTAAAACACGCTGTCCTAAAATTCACAAACATCTGCCAGCCTCTGCCACAGGAGGGCTGTGACTAAAGGCACGCATCATCATGCCCACCCAGCTCCTGTGCACTTTTGACAGAAATAGTTCTATTTGAGGGCATATGAACGTTCACAAAATCAGAATTAAACGCTGTGGTGGTAAATGTCTTCACTCAGTTGCCCCACTGCGAGGATTATAAACTCAAGTGTAACTCCTGGTTTTTAGATGTTTTAGAGGACAAGAGAATGGACGTCAGCGTTAACAAAGGCAGAGAATGCCCAAGCTGATATAAAGGAAAAGTACTATTTGGTAATAAAGTTAATCTAAGTAATATTCTCTGGGGCTGGATCCCCTTGGAGTTGAGAGGGTACATGGTAGCCTTCCTGGAAGTTCTGGACTTTTAAGTTGGCTCCAAAACCCTTAGGGCCAGGACACTTCTCTAAGAGTTCTGGTGGACGTTTCTTTCGTGTTCAAATTAGTGATCGGTAGTGGACTATTCTGGTCACCACTGACTGGAGAACAGAAAGAATTCAGGACCATGGTAAGGAATATTAAAGGATTCTTTTAATGGCTCAAGTTTGGCCACTTACTATCCATCAAGGATCAAGTCAAATCTCTTCCCCCAAACAACCATATTCAGTCACCCCAGGGAGAAGGAAGGTTTTCCAAATCAAGGCAGCGGGAGTGGACCTGGGATTCTAAGACTGAGGATATCAGCGGGGTGAAACACTTGGGCAAGTTCCCTCTGCCCCACGACTTGGGTCCCACGACTTGCTGTCGAGAGAGACGTAGTATACATGTTCCAGAAATTCATTTATGCCAGGAGGGAGGCCACTCTTCCGGGTGGAACTGGAAGAGTGGGGGAAATGAGAGGCGAGATTCTCCGACGGCTGGCTGGCAGTTTGGGGAGAAACGCTTCGCAACACTGATCAGGAGCGCGAGCAGTGTGGCCTTGAAGCCCCAGCCAGCCAGCCAGCCGTGGAGACAGGACACCTAGAGCACTTCCGGGTTTGGAAACGCTCCACCCACCTCTGGCTCGATTTACAAGGTCTCCAGGCGCATGCGCCGCCGCTCTGGGACCGACCCAAGTCACCCTAAACAACTAATCGGGTCCCTGGGCCGGCTTGGGGCGTACCATGTTTTAGTCGGGGGGGGTGCGGGGAGAGGCAACGCTCGCCCACAGCTCTCAGAAACCTGCTCCCCTCCCTCGGGCAGCAGCGCAAGCTAGCTGTCGTAAAAGTTCTGGGAAGATGGAGGGCTGAGAGGCGGCTCGCACGAGGAGCTCGGCAGAGCACGCACCGCCCAGCCTCCGAGGCGCTGAACAAAGTGGCACGCCCCGATCCCAGCTGATCCGCCAGGCTCCGGCGGCGGCGGCTCCCCCCTCCCCCGGGCGAGACCATCGCGCCGCCTCCGGAGGGGTGTCCTCTGAGGGGAGGGGGGCGGAGCGGCCATTGTCCGGTCAGCGCCGTCTACGGGGCGGGGGGGAGGGGATTACGGAGCGAGCGGGGGCCCGGGGCGTCACAGCCGGCCGCTGCGACTCCACAGCCGGCGGGGGGCTTCGGGTTCCTCCCCACCCAGTCCCGAACCCGACAGCGCCGCCGCACGGGACAGCGCTGTGGCTGGGCGGCGGCGGAGAGAGCCGCCAAGGGCGCCGGGTCTCCCCGGTACGCACGGCCCAGCCCCTCCTCCGCAGCTCCCCTCCCTCTCCTCGCCGCGTCCCCCCCTCCTCTCCTCGGGCCGAGTGGTGCCGCCCGCCTCCAGCTGACCCGCCTGGAATCCCGGCTCGGAGCCCCGGACTCGCGCCCGCCTGCGCGCCCGCTCCCTCCCCCTCCCCCCGCCCCGCGCCCCCCGGCCGCCGCCGCCGCCGCCGCCGCCTCCGCTTCCTCCGAGGGGGGCCCAGGCCCAGCCGCCGCCGCCGCCGTCGCCTCCGAGCTCCGCCGCCGCCGAGCACCATGGGAGACGCCGGGAGCGAGCGCAGCAAAGCGCCCAGCCTGCCGCCTCGCTGTCCCTGCGGCTTCTGGGGGTAAGTGTGGGGGGGCAGGGGCGCGGGCGCGGGCCTCGGGGTGGTAATGGTGGGGACCCGAGGGAGGCCGGAGCCCCGGGAAGCTGGGCCGCGGAAGCCGGGCCTCGGGGGAGCGGGTGGGGACCGCGGCCTCGGCCTGAGGAGGGCTGCGGGTAGGGGACGCTGAGGGTGGGGGAGAGGAGGAGGAGGAAGAGGAGGAATCGGAGGAGGAGGACCGCCCGGGCCGCGCTGCCCTCGGTGGGACTCGCTGGCCCGAGGCCGGCTTGGGGTGAGGGGCCACGGGTGAGCGGGAGGGACGAGGTGGCGGCGCTGGCACTTCTCGGTGGGGCAGGGCTGGCCCCCTTTTCCCTTGGCCCGTGGAGGCCAGTCCGCCTCCGCCTCATCTTGGTATGAGTTGGTGCCTAGCCATCAGGAGGGTATTTCCTCTGACTTTTTCACCTCCCCTCCTCCCTGCTGCTCCCCGGGAGAGATTTGCATCATCACTTCCTAAATTATATCTCAGTCCCCGTTTGCTTTTAGGAAGCTGTTCACGCGTCATACGTTTTGAACATTTAAAATCCACACAGTCCAAGAATTCGGGCATGGGGAGTAAAGTTAAAAGGGTTGTTGAGGGTCTCGGTTTTTATCGAAAACATGTATCAGGGAGTCTGTAAAAATTGCCCTGTCCAAAATAAACCCCTCCTCCTCCACCACCACCACCACCACCACCACCACCACCATCACCATCATCACCACCATCATAACCACTAGCAACAACAAACAAAACAACAAGGAATCCCCCCAAAACAAATAAACACTCCCACCCAGCTAAACCGAACAGAAAACAGAAACTTCCCAACAGAACCTCAAGCCAGCCTGCCTTGTGGAATGTGAGAGCCGGCTTCCTCCTTGGCTCTCAAATTCTCTTTCCCTATTAAATTTTTTTTTTTAATGTTCACAACACAGTGTAGAATCCCGTGCCACATTAGGCTGAGTTGGTACGTGGGGACAGATAGATAGATAGATAGAACCCCCACTCCTACCAGCAGTTGTAATTTAAGTTGTCCTTGGAATACTTTTGGGTTTTGTAGATTGTCACCTAACAAGCTGTGGTCATACCTCATAACTAGTTCTGTGTAAGGAAACTGGAGAATTCAAGCAGCTTTGGTGATTCAGGCTTTTTAAAAGATTGTGTTGGAGCCAGGCAGTGGTGTCACACACCTTTAATCCCAGCACTTGGGAGGCAGAGGCAGGCAGATTTCTGAGTTCGAGGCCAGCGTGAGTTCCAGGACAGCCAGGGCTATACAGAGAAACCCTGTCTCCAAAAAAAAGAAAAAGAAAAGAAAAAAATGATTGTGTTGGGATGTATATGAAGGAAACTGGTTGTTGCTAGTGAAGACATCCTGGGAAATGGCCATTTCTATACTCCAGGAATGGTTGATATAGAAACTGCAGATATGCTTATGACTGAAGAAGAGCAGAATACACATTTTAATGCAGATCTCTGTGGAAGATTTTGAAGTGTATCTCTTTTCAAAAAAAAAAAAATTCTCAGTGGAAGGACAGGGGTCAAGAATAAGTTGTAGCATTAGCAAAAGTTCCGAAGATGTAACAGTATTTTAGCTGTAGAGTCTTCTTTTCATTTTAATTTGATTTAAAACATTTTAAAAAGTTTATTTTTAACCTTATTATAAAAAAAATGTTGACAAAAATATCGCACATCAAAATTAACCAGATCCAAAGAGTTTCCAGCTGGAGTTGCTGGGGTTACTGAGTTGTCCGTGAAGTGCTGAAGTGTTTGGACGGATGTCCGACTCTCCTAGGGATCTTACAGGATTGAAGCACACAGAAGCTGGTTAACTTGCTCCTTCTTGTAGGGAGTGCAGGGTGTGGTGGGTGAGCGCTCCAGAGTGCCTGGTGCCATCACATCTATGACATCACTTTGGAAAAATGTAGTGTCACAAGCCCTAGATTGTAACTTCCCGCGGGACATGTGGCCTGTAGACAGTAGCTCCCAATGACAGTCTCAGTGATGGCGCAGACTGTAGAGAGGTCTGCTTCCTGGCAACCTGATTTTGTGTCCTTGGGACCATTAGTGAATAGAGTCTAGAGGAATCCTTCCTTTCATCAAGGCTTAGAAGCTAGAGAAGTGGATGCAATCGCTCTTTGCGTTTAGCCAGCACATTTTGAATCAGGCTAAGCGACTTTGGTAGGAGCAGAAGTCTTGATGTACAGCACCCAGGGTTCCTTCATTGCTACTTCCAGTCCGACCCCCTTAGGAGCCTGTGTTTGCCTAACAGAAGTAATGAGCACAGAGCTAGTAATTACCTGGTAACACCTCTTAACACACCCTCTTAAAACCTTTCCTAAGGGTGATTGTAGACACGTGTGTAGTTTGTCTTTCATGCCAAAGAGGAACCAAATTATTGCCTTTGTTATGTCATAGCTGATTTTAATCATTTTCTTCTGTTGCACGGGCCATAATTATACCATGTTAATCAGGGAAACTTAGAATACACTCAACACGGATACTCGAGCGTCTTTTCTCTGTGAGTAATGGTGGGTGAGAGTCTTGGCACATCCTCAGGTGTACAAGGCAGAGCATAGATTGATAGAGTTGGCTAGGTGGTCCCAGTGCTATGTGAAGCAGTTGTCCTAGGAAGGTAGAGGCGGATGAGGGCATCCTGGAGAGAGTGACTCTTCAGTAAGGACATGTAAGAAGGGTAAATGGTGGAGAGTAGGAGGAGTGTTTCAGGCTGAGGGGATGGTGTGGATGGAGGCAGGAAGTGAGGGAGAAGGTGAGGAGCAGAGTGGCCATGGGTAGGTTGTGGAGAGGGATCAGCTGGGGATGAGGCCGAGGAGGTGAGGAAAGTGGAGATGGTGGCTGCATGGGCAGTGCTGAGGCCTTTGGACCTTCATCCCGAGTACACGGGGAGTTAATAAAGAGCACCAAGCTTGGAGTAACAGGATGACCTTTGATGTGGGAGGTTACTGGTAGATCTCGAGAGTGGCTAGGTGTGTGGGTGTGATTGTGTGTTTGGATGGATGTGGTATATGTGTTTATGGAGTGCTGCCAGATGTGGAGATACAGAACACCTGTCAGAAGTAGTAATAGGGGCTGGCCACGGCAGTGACACGAATGTGTCATGGCTGGGAAGGATACAGATGTGGATGGACTGGAAGTCACCAAGGGATATAAGATAGTCCGCGTCTTTTCCCTTCATAAACACAAAGAGAAGAGTCCTAAGAAGTTTGGTGTGGCACAGCACTCTGGAAGCTGCAGTTCTTTAAATTGAGCCAGCCCGGGCCCACACCCAGCCTTTGGAGAGGAGCCTCTGGACAGAATTATTCTGGCCTTCTGCGAGTAAAGGAAGTTCCTTCAGAATTACTGCTTTCTCCAATGACTCAGGCTTTAGTGTTTGCTGCTGAGCATTGTCTGGTCAGGACAGCAGTCACAAGGGCTTGGCGAATCCAAGAGCTTTGAGCTCTTTCTTGTGGGCTCACAATAGAAAGGAGAATGCCAAGAGGAGCATACAGTTCAAACCCCGTTCCCAGCTCTGTCTCTGTGGTTTATGTTGTGTCACTGGGATTAATTGGGGTGATTTATAGAGACGTCTCCTTACAGGGAAACCTGCTACCTTGGAGATTGTTGGAGACTGCTCTGTTTATAGAACTTGGAAGTTCTTTATGTGGTAGAGACTGTACCTTCTAGGAGTAAAACAGTCTGTTCCTGTAACTTGGACTTAAAAGTCTTAGTGAAATATGAACATTGTCTTGGTTCATTTTAGACATTTTGAAATCAGGCAAAAAAAAGCACTTATTGATAATTGCCATATTTAAAATAAAATTGTCAGTATGTTTCTTTAATATCAATACACTTCCCTCTTTTTCTTCTTCCCCTCTTTCTCCTCCTTTTCTTTGGAGCCAGGGTTTTATTATATAGCTCAGGCTAGCTTTGAGCTGACTGTAGCTCCGGCTGGTCTAGATGGCTTTCACTCCCTATGTGCTGTGATTCTAGGTACTTAACCACTGTGCTTAGCTTGAAAGTACTTTCACACTGTCTAGATACAAGTAGTATTAATTTAATATATTTAAAACTGCTCATGCACTTAAAATTTACTGAGGCACATTTTTTTCATAAATATTTTAGGAAACTGTTGAACAGTTTGATGTATTAGCACATGCCTTTAATCCCAGCTCTTGGGAGGCAAGATAGGTCTACAGATCTCTGTGAATTCAAGGCCAGCCTGGTTTACATAGTGAGTTAAAGGCCAGCCAGAACTTTCACACACACACACCAAGAATTTACTGTGTATATTCAGGGACAGTAGTAGGCTAGTGATGGAAGGTCAGAGTATTTTCTCCCCTCATTTTACTCTTAGTATTATAAATCTGGTTACTGCGATTGATATTTTATTTTCATAATTGGAGATAGTCTCTGTCATAGTGAAATATTATGGGATCTCTGAGAGGTTATTATTTATTCAGTAGACAAACATTGCAAGGTAGTGGCCATAAAAGTTAGGTCTTATATTGATAGAATAATTTATAGAATAGTTTGAGGCTTAGCTAGGTAAACTATTGATTATTTTGAGGATTGTAAAACGAGAAGCTCAGGTTGATGAGATGGCTTAGTGTATAAAGGCACATGATGTTTAATTCCTGAGACCCATATGATGGAAGGAGAGAACCAGCTCCCACAAGTTGTCTTCTGACTTCCACATGTGTGTCATGACATGCATGTCCTACAGATACAAAGAAATATAACTTAAATCATGAATGAAATATGGGTACATATTTAGAAGAATATCTTTTTTTTTTTTTTTTTTTTGGTTTTTTGAGACAGGGTTTCTCTGTATAGTCCGGGCTGTCCTGGAACTCACTCTGACCAGGCTGGCCTCGAACTCAGAAATCCGCCTGCCTCTGCCTCCCAAGTGCTGGGATTAAAGGCGTGCACCACCACCGCCCGGCTTAGAAGAATATCTTATTCTGTGATAGTTTTATACACATGTACAGTATAT